AAAGAACTACTCTCTATCATCTTATCTATACTAACGTTGTTTGGAGAATTTTTCTTCCATTTTAGGCATCAACTAACCTTCTGAATCCAACAGTGTTCTTAACACTTGGCTGGGAAAAAGGGGAACTGGCCCATGATTGCTTGCAGACCACTGAAGAGGTGTACTCCAGTCGAGATGACCTACAGGACACTCTCTTGGAAGAGGTGGATGGGAGTAGCTTTGTGGAAAATGGAATCCAAAAAGCCAAATATGCAGTGGTAGCTCAGCATCAGGCAATAGAAACCAAAACTCTAACCCCTCCCAGCCTGCCAGTGTCTTTCACAATGGTAATGGGAAAATTCAAGCAACAGTTTTAAATCTATGACACCAAGATAGTGAAAGGCATCAAGGGAAAGACTTATGAGGAGTGGAACAGATAAGGTCACTTGGTTTGTTTAGCTTAGAGAAGTCTGAGGGGTGACATCATGCTCATCAAAATCTACAACTTTCTTCAAAGGTGACAGTGGAGGGGGATGCACTGATCTCGGGTGACCAGCTAAAGGGATAGGATGTGATAAGTAAATTTGCTGATGACACTAAGTTGGGAGGAGCTGTCGACTCCCTCAAGGGCAGAGATGCCCTGCAGACAGACCTTGACAAATTAGAGAGATGGACAATAACCAATCATATGAAGTAAACAAGTGCAAGTGTCAGATTCTGCACCTGGGATGGGGCAACTCTGGTTGTGTGTATAGACTAGGGAATGAGAGGCTGGAGAGTAGCACTGCAGAAAGGGACCTGGAGGTCCTGGTTGATGAAAAGTTGAATATGAGTCAGCAGTGTGCCCTAATAGTCAGGAGTGCCAACTGTGTCCTGGGGGGCATCAGGCACAACATCGCCAGTTGGTCAAGGGAGGGGATTGTCCTGCTGTACCCTGCACTAGTATGGTTTCATCTTGAGCCCTGTGTGCAGTTTTGGACACCACAATATAAAAAAGACATTAAGCTACTGGAGAGTATTCAGAGGAGGACCACGAGGATGGTGAAGGGTCTGGAGGGGAAGCCTTATGAGGAGTGGCTCAGGTCACTTGGTTTGTTCAGTCTGGAGAAGAAGAGACTGCAGGGAGACCTCATTGTAGTCTTCAACATCTTCATGAGAAGTGGAGAGGCAGGTACCAACCTCTTCACTGTCATGACCAGTGACAGGACTTGAAGAAATGGCATGAAGCTGAGGCTGGGGAGGTTTAGGTTAGATATTAAGAGAAGATTTTTCACCCAGAGGGTGGTTGAGCACTGGAACAGGCTCCCAAGTGAAGTGGTCACAGCACCAAGCCTGTCAGATTTCAGTGTCTGGACAGCACTCTTAGTCTGTTCTGGTTTTAAAAAACAGCTGGAAAATTAAACCCCAGTCAAGCTGCTCACTTTCCTCATGGAAGTGAGAATCCCTTACTTCCACTCCCCACCAATGGCATGGGTAGTATGGAATACAACCTAGGTGTCCCATGCAAGGCACCCCCCAGCCCGGGCCTGGAACATACTATCCCCTTTCAGAAAGAGAGGTGGAAATGATTCCTGCCTGGGCTTGGTCACTCCTTGGGAACCAACTCAGGTGAGAGAGGGGTGGTACAGGCTCGTTACCTGGTGCTAGAGAGGGCTATATAAATGTCTCCAGGGAGCGTGAGCGACCTGGAGTACGGCGAACAGGAGCAAGCAAACAGGAGCATGGCACGGCAGTTTGCACAGCAGTTTGCATAGGCAGGGCAAACAGACAGGGCACAGCCACCTCTTAGGTCTCTCAAGTGAGCTTTTTTTTTTTTTCTTTCCCCTCACATTTCAACTAAAACCGGTAATGGTTTTTAAAAAAATGAAAACCATCGCTACTGTTACCACTAGGAGTGTGTTGACACAGACAGAACCCTCCAAGAAGGATGCAACCATTCAGGTCTCCAGCTGGGCAGACTGTTTGAGCCTGGCATCAGTACCAGAGGACATTGTGAGAGGCACCTGTGTGCGATGAGAGCAGGTCAGTGATTTGCTCTGCATGATAGCAGAGCTCAAGGAAGAGGTAGAGAGGCTGAGAAGTATTAGGGAAAGTGAAAGGGAAATAGACTGGTGGAGTCACACCATTTCGACACCCAAGGAAGTCCAGGAGGAGACAGTGATGCCCTGCCCCTCCTGCCGTCAGGCAGATGAAGCAAACCAAGTGGATGGAGGGGGAATGGAAACAGGTCCCTGTTTGGAGAGGTAAAAGAACACCCTCTTGACCCCCATTACTTCCCCCAGGTGCCCTTGAAGAACAGAGATGAGGCCCTAGACTCAGAAAGTCAAGTAGAGATCAGGTAAGAGGAAGATCTGTCTGCAGGTTGCACCCAGTCTACCAGACGGGTTACAACGACATATATTAGAAAAAAAAGAAGGGTAGTTGTAGTAGGTGACTCCCTTTTGGGGGGAACTGAGGGCCCTATATGTCAACCAGACCCATCCTACAGGGAGGTTTGCTGCCTTCCTGGAGCCAGGGTAAGGGACATTGGTAGGAGACTTCCTGAGCTAATTCAGACCTCAGATTACTATCCACTGTTGGTAATCCAGGCTGGCAGTGATGATATTAATAGAAGAAGTGCCAGGGCAATCAAAAAGGATTTCAAGGCACTGGGTAGATCAGTTCATGGGACAGGCGCACAGGTAGTATTTGCCTCAGTTCCTGTACTTGCTGGAATGAATGAGGAGATGAATGAGGAGAAGAGCAGGAAAACCTACCTTATCAATAGGTGGCTAAAGGATTGGTGCTACCGGCAGAATTTTGGGTTTTTTGACCATGAGGCAAACTCCATAGTACCCAGTCTTCTTAAATCAGATGGGCTTTATGTATCTAGGAAGGGCAAAAAGACTGTAGCCCACAAGTTAGCGGGGCTCATCAGGAGGGCTTTAAACTAGATTTGAAGGGGGAAGGGATTGATTCCAGGCTCTCCAAAGAGAAGCCCAGGGATGAAAAGCCCAGTTAAGAGTAAAATCAGCAGCCCAGCTGAACTGCATGTACACCAATGCACACAGTATGGGCAACAAACAGGAGGAACTGGAAGCCATCGGGCAGCAGGAAAACTATGACGTAGTTGCCATCACAGAAACGTGGTGGGATGACTCGCATGACTGGAGTGCTGCCATGAATGGCTACAAACTCTTCAGATGGGACAGGCAAGGCAAGAGAGGTGGAGGGGTGGCTCTATATGTTAGTCTCTTGACTCTGTAGAACTTGAGGTCACCAATGATGAGTGCCTGTGGACCAGAATCAGGGTGAAGACCAACAAGGCTGACATCCTAATAAGAGTCTGTTATAGACCACCCAACCAGGATGATGAAGAGGTGTCATA